CGAGACACCCCGCAGGGACCCCCCACCCCTCGATGGAGCCCGGCCAGGAGCACTGGAGAGCCTTGATCCTGGGGCTGCTCGTTGCAAACGGTTGGCAAAGATTGATTTTGTACAAGTGTGGGTTAAGTAAGAGGTTACAGTGGATTGTAAAAGCCTGAAAAGGTTGACACTGCAACCCTGATCTCAGAAGAGGTGTCTCTGCCAAAACGTCAAGGCTTCTGAAGAGGAGAAAGTAGGTTTGTCACCAGGCTGTCTCCATCATGAATTCTCCATAGACTGCATGACTGCACACATCATGCACTTCCATGTTTAACAAAAAGCTTGTTTTTCCCTTCAGGAAGGGGATTCTTCTTGCTGCTGTTGTTTTAAGTCACAAATTAATTAGTGATGGCAGACAGCTAGAAAACATTTTCTAAAACTGATGGATTTCGGACCAGTGTGAGTCCAAGGGAAGGATAAATTTAGACATAAATGGAAAATAATATGTTAAAACTTTGTGTTAAAGCTGAAAAATTAATTTCTGGTAGCTGGAGAAGGTCAGTACCCCATTGTTATTTTCCCACTTAGTAGGCAGGGGAGTTTAATCTCTCCTGAATTAAAAAACCTTCTGATGCACATTATTAAAGATCAAAATTTCATAGAATTGTGGAATGGTGGAGGTTGGAAGGAACCTAAAGATCATCAGGTTCCAGCCCCCCTGCTCTGAGCGGGGACACCTCCCACCAGACCAGGCTGCACAAGCCTCATCCAGCCTGACCTTGAACACCTCCAAGGATGGGGCAGCCACCACCTCCCTGGGCAGTCTCTGCCAGCACCTTCCTACCCTCATGGGGAAGAATTTCTTCCCGATCTCTAACCTAAATCTCCCCTCTCTCAGTTTAAAACTATTACCCCTTTTCCTATCACTTCCCTCTCTGATGAAAAGCCCCTCCCCAGCTTTCCTGGAGCCCCTTCAGGCACTGGAAGCTGCTCTAAGGTCTCCCCTGAGCCTTCTCTTCTCCAGGCTGAACACCCCAACTCCCTCAGCCTGTCTTAATAGCAGAGCTGCTCCAGCCCTCAGATCCTCTTTGGTTACATTTGGTTGAGAGGGGCTAAGATTTCAGTTACCAGAAAGTGCCTCAAGTCCTCACAGACTTCACCTGTCCATTGCTAGACCAAAGCCTCCTGACACAGCCTGGCAGATTGGTGTCTCTAACAGACGCTAGACAAAACATGTGCCAGGAGGTGTGATGTGACTGCCTTGTTCCTCAGGTGGACTCTCACTACTGCCCCAGCTGCCTGGAGAACATGCCATCAGCTGAAGCCAAGCTGAAAAAGAACAGGTAAGGTCGCTTTGGCATTTTTCATCAAGGCTCACTCTTTTCAACAGCTCCCTCCTTAATCAGCACCTGGCTGAGTTCATTTGAAACTCTATTCAAAAATCACATTACTTCTTGATACCTTTTAGGCTGTTTTGGGGAATAAGTGTCTGTGATGTATTGTGCACTCTTCATCTTCTGGTGTACTTTAATACAAAGGGTTTTTAGTGTCACCCAGTATCTCTCATTTTTGTCTCTCTTATATTAACTCTGAACCTCTCCTGTTTCTTGGCTCTGTTGCCCCTTTTCCTGAATGTTATGGAATGGGGTGAAAAGGTCTGTTGGTTTCCTCTTGGTTGGCTTGCTGAGAGCATTTTCCTTCGCCTGGGATCCTTGTTGGAGCAGTATCTTACAGACCCTCCTCTCCACAGGTGTGCCAACTGCTTTGACTGCCCCTGCTGCATGCACACCCTGTCCACCCGGGCCACGAGCATCCCTGCTCCACTCCCTGATGACCCAGCCAAGACTACCATGAAGAAAGCCTACTACTTGGCCTGTGGATTTTGCCGTTGGACTTCCCGGGATGTGGGCATGGCAGACAAGTCAGTTGGTAAGTGACAGTTAGAAGACAGAAATCCCTGTAACAGCAGGAGCCACCTTTGTGTTTTGTAATTAGTCTCTGGCTGTAGGATATACATAATATCTGCCTAGGTTTGGAGTCACAGCTGGAGATACACAGGGAGACTGTTGCTGAAGTCTCATCTGAAGAGCTGAGATGAGTTAGAGGAGTAGGTGACCCTCTTCCATTGCTTGTGTTATCTGACTAGTGGGAAAGCTGTCGGGCAAGGAGCTTTTTCAGTTGGTGTGCTCTTCTCACAGCCGAGGTCCTGTCTGTGCACCTGCAGGGACTTGGAAGTCGCTCAGTCTGACAGTGTAAACATCTAGTTTATTTTCTGTCACTCTGGTTCATTTAGGCTTATTCCAGGATTGCTAATCAGTGTTTGTACTTGCTTTTTCTCTTCACCACATCACTGAAACAAAACTTTCATTTTTTTATTGATGTGTAAGACATGCAGAAAGTATCTGTTGTGCTCCAGAAACAGGGCTTGAGTAGATCCTCTGACTTCCATCACTGATGTGACTGAAGACTGGGAGCTGAAGGTGCAGGATCGTGGGCAGCCAGTACTGAGTGTTCTTGTAAACTGCTGCTAAAGTGACTCCTGGGTGCTGTCCTGTGTGCTTCAAACTGCATTTGTATAAAACCACAATATAGCAGCTGGGCAAGCTCCTTCAGCCCAAACCTGCATGTGAAAACCTTTCAGAGATGTCCATGTGTGCAGGCATGAGCTTGAACTGCAATGGGAAGTATAGCAAAAGTAGGGAATGTCCTATTTCATGAGTAGGACTGAGACAGTTGGGTGTTAGATGTGATTTCTCTGTGGAATCTAGAAATCTTCTTCTGAGTGTTTTTTTCCTCTCTCGTGCAGCTAGTGGTGGCTGGCAGGAGCCTGAGAATCCTCACACACAGAGGGTAAGTGAAGGGGAAGACAATGCTTGGGCTGAGACACATCTAGAAGGAGCTGTTAGAGACACCAGGCCCTCCCAATCACTTTTTCTGCATCTATATAATCCTTCAGATAGCAGATCCAGTTCCTTATCTCCCCCTTGACTGAATCCCCTGGAAGAAAGGCCTCTTAGAGGCTCTCCTGTGGGTATTGCAGTGTAAAATCTCCTTCTCAGAAGAAACTCAGTGGAAAGCTTCATATCTAATAGTGCTGTTAAAACACCACCAATGAATATGCTGCGTATATATGAGAAAAAGGCTGTTTTCCAATCATGAGTGTGTCTGGAAGGCAGAACTGCACTTGTCCTGCCTTTCCCTGTCACCAGTCAGGACTCTGCACTAAGTGTGATCAGCCTCGGGCAGGGGAAAGATGCTCTTTGCTCCACTCATCCAAATTACTGGTTTTTGGCTGCCTGACATAACTGTGTCCAGCCACAGCAGAAGTGTGGACAAAGCCTCTGTTGCCTGCCAGGTGGGAGCTGGACACTGCTCTCTGATAGGTGTCATTCCCAGAGAAGGGTCAGCTGGTCACCCATAGCAGGAGTTAAGACATGAAGACGCACAGGCGTCTGTCATGTGTTTCCTTTGAAACACAGCTAGTCCTAGGACAGAGATAAGTAGCAGGAGCCCCAGATTGGTCACTGATCTGGCCTTTGCTCCCCATTGACTGGGTGTCTGTTCCCTGTCACCCCCAGATTAACAAACTGGTTGAGTACTACCAGCAGATGGCTCAGAAGGAGAAGATCGAGAGGGACCGGAAGAAGCTGGTGCGACGCAGGAATTACATGCCCCTGGCCTTTTCAGTGAGTATGGAGCTCAGAGCAGCAGCAGTGATGTGCAGTAGCCTCAGCCTGCAAAATGAGGTAGCTGGTAGCACACTAAGGCTACTCAGCTTGTTCTTATTAAGAGCAACGTGAAGAAAATATGCTAGTGCACATGGGTTTCCTTAGGGACGAGTAGTCCTACCACCCATTGTTGTGTGTTACATTGCCTCTCTCTCCAGTAGACCTCTCTGATAGTGCCAGAAGGCTTTATACTTGCCATGCAAAGGAATATGTGATCCAGCAGTGAAGTGCAGTGCAACCACAGTCACAGTACAAGTGGTAGCTCTAAGGACTGTTGCATCGCACAGCTCAGTAACAGTTAGATCAGGATTGTCTGGCACTTTTCTGCCCAAAGTCTCAACTGAAGTGAACCTTAGGTCTTGGCTGGGGCCTGAATGACTGGTTTATTGTAACTGGCAGGTAAATGCTTACTTTGTTTAGCTGGGTGACTCTGCATATGCTTGCTACTTCTCAATTAACTGTGCTTGCTCTGTGCCCTTGCTTGTGTCTTATGGCTGCATTTTTTGTCTCCGTTGCTACCTGCTGCTATTTTGGGGGCTCTCCACAGCAACACACTATACACGTAGTGGTAAGTCTCTTCCCCATTTCTGCTGGTGTTCAAGCTCTCATGGTACCAACTGAAGGGCAGTAACACGTCCTACTCTTCACCTCAGGGCCTCTGACTTGGATGTCACTAGAACAAAGGCACATGAAAGCCAGTTAGAGGCCAGTATTTTTGTTAGTTTAGAAATAGGGCACTGTCTTGGGGTAAGTAATGTACACTGGAGAAGCAGTCCCTGACAAAGCCTGGCTGTGACCTGGCTATCTGTCTGCTTGAGACAGTGGTGCTAATGTTAGTCTACTGGTCCTTGAAAAATCACCAGGGTGGGCTGATGGTCAGATCTCATTTGGTGAGAATTCAGGTTTTCAGTCCTGCCCTGTATACAGTTCATCTGTGGAAAGCTGAGGAGCAGCTCAGCTACTCCTGACAGTTGGTGGTGCCTGGTGAGAGAGATCTGTAGGTAACAAGGCTCGCAGGAGGCTGAACCTTCCAGCTGCTCCTAGGAGAGCTGCAGAACATTTCAGATGGATCCATGTCAGCCAAGTTCTTTTGGCAGTTGAGCTCTCATTCTCCACTTGACATGCAGTTGTTCAGAAGGAAAGATCAAGGGGAAAATGTGACAGTAGTGCAGGCTGGTGACTTAAGGAAAGAGCAAAAGCTTTCTAGGCAGTAGCCACATCCATCTCTTCCCATCTGCAGTGTGGTAGTAATCTTTAGGTTTAGTAGGAAAAAAAATAAATCTTGGGAAGCATTGAATACCTTTCCCTTTTTGCTTTCCTTTGCTTGTCTCCCTATGCTTGTCATGCAGCTCAAAGGATGAGTTGAGTAGGGCTTTCTGTCCTGGCAGGAAGCAGACCTGAAGCTGACAGTTCCTTTTTTCCTTGTAGGACAAATATGGCCTTGGAACCAGGCTGCAACGCCAGAGACCTGGAGCACCCATCAGTGCCCTTGCTGGACTCTCGTGAGTCTCAGGGTTGGGATTAGCTTTGTGGAGGGATGGGAGGTGTAGGGGAGAGAGCAGCAAAGCAACTTCAGAAAGGTGATGAACCGTATTAGCAGACAGCAGTGGAAGGAGCCTTCTTTGGAGCATTGGAGATGTCAAATCCTCAGGTGTCTCTGTGCAGGAGCTCCTGATCTGATCCAGTGGGAGGTGTCCCTGCCACTGCAGGGGGGTTGGATCTAGGTGATCTTTAAGGCCCTTTCCAACCCAAACCATTCTATGATTCTATGTTTTGCTTTCTCCTAACAAAGAAGTGCCTGTTCTTCTCCTTGGGCAGTTACTGTTATATTGCAACCTCAGCTCTTGTTTTTGTGTTGTGATGCAGTTAACTGCTGTTGTTGTCAGTCAGAGCACACGTGCCATGTTTTATGACAGAGTTGTCCCTCTCTTTGCTTCAGGCTGAAAGAAGGAGAGGACCAGAAGGAGATCAAGATTGAGCCAGCTGATGCAGTGGAAGAAGTGGAACCTCTTCCTGAGGATTACTACACAAGACCAATCAATCTGACAGAAGGTAACAGCCTCACTTTTTGTCCTTGCATTTTATAACATGAGCAGTGCTTGGAAGCTTGTCAGTGGGGTTCCTAATGGCCCTAGGTTGTAGTAACTTTTATGTTGGGATTGAAATGGTAGGAAATGTGTGGCTTTTTCAAGGGTAGTTTTGAGCACAGCGGAGCTTCGTGCTGTAGATGGAAAACTCAGAGCCAAATACTTCAGGCTTCTTAACAGTTGTTTCACTTTCTTGCTCATCTTAATTTCTGCATCTGAAGTGTCAGCTTTTGGATGGAAAAAAGATCTGACGTCCTTTTTCAAGTAACAGCAGGAAGTAAAGAAGTAGCTGAGCTGCTGGGGAGTTGGAATCTCAGCTGACCTATTAAATAACAATTGCACATTACTTTGACATCAGCTTGAAGCAGCTTGTGTACACATGCCAGTTATTTAGCTGGCTCATGATTTAATCAGCAAATAGTAAATTGGTCAATGAAATTTGGGAGCAAATGGGATAAAAGAGCAGGTACAGGAAGCAAAGCAGACTTCCTGAACAGGACAGATGTTCTTGATAGTCCTGCAGGCCTACAAAGTCTGCCAGCATTAATTAATTCTTGAAAGGTTTATGGAAGGGGCTAGATCATCTTGGTCTCCTTTTCTCATGAGACTGTCAGCTTTGTGAGAGTGAGCTGCTGTGAAGAAGACAATGTTCATGGTTCCCCGCAGTGAGGGAAAAGCTGCCAGGTGGCTGACTGCCTGTTAGACACTGGGAACAATGAGGAGCCTGTTTTTTGGGAGGAACCCATGGGAAGTTGGCTGCTGGAGTTCCTTGCCTTAGAAACTCTGTAGTGCATGGATCTGAGTTATGCAAACTCCTTGCTGAGAAGCTGTATATTGTACTTGTGCAGCACCCAGCTGTGAGGGTAACAAAGCTGCAAAACTGATTTGCCCATGGCAGGGGAAAACTTCTTTTCTAGATTATTACAAAATTCTGCTTCCACCCCAGCTGAACTTTGAATAGCAGTCAGGGTCCCTTGTTTCCCCGGGACTGGCACTGAGGTTCCTCCAGTGTTACCATGCACAGTCAGGGCAGCCCTTTTCACAGCTCTTACCTTCCATTCACTCGCTGCTAGAAACAGCGAGATTTTGCCAGTGGCTTCTGAATTACTGGGTGCAGGTGGAATTCTTGGGGATCACAGCAAGTCTGCGCACAGTCCGTGGTGCATTTTCTCTTAGCCCAGTGCACGTGTTCCCTCCAGCTGGAGTTTCAGTGCCAGAGACAGACATTAATGTGATCTTTCTGTCACATACCCAGTGACGACCCTGCGCCAGCGCCTGCTGCAGCCCGACTTCCAGCCCATCTGTGCCTCCCAGCTCTACCCACGGCACAAGCACCTCCTGATCAAACGCTCCCTGCGCTGTCGGGTGGGTAGTTAAATTAAAAAAAAAACAACACTTTTTCTCTAGGCTCAGGGAGCTTGGGTTATGGGGAAATGGGCTGTGTGCTTGTGGTTGTTGGAAGTTCTCCACCAAATGACTGGTAACAGCACTGGGAGATGAGTGAGGCTGTCACATCTCTGATGTGGTGAAGGTTGTGGAAGGGGGACAGCATTGTCAAAGATGCATGAAGGTACAAAGGTGGGTTTCTCTAAAGAGCCTGTGTATTCTCTGCCTAGCCAAGGAGTCAGGGAAGGCTGCCAGTACTCTCAGAATTAAAAAATTTCTGCTATTACTAAAGACAGATCAGGTCAGCAAACAAAGTATTAGTGAGAGGCAGTGCAGAATACTGAAGGCAGGAAGGGGGTATCTCAGAGAAGAAAAGCAGAAAGCTGGAAGGTGAAGATAGGCAAGAATGGAATCCAGGTTCTGCTGTGGGGATATTACATGGTCTTCAAAAAGCTGCCTCCTTTCTCTGTGAAGCAGGGATATTTATCTAGTTCCCAGAGTAATTGAGCAATATTCCTGTAAGCAGTTAAGATGCAGAATGCTTTGTAAGTGCAGAATATGTTGTCAGAAATAAGTTGGGCAGAGCCTGTATGTGAAGCGTATCCTATGAGATTAGTCTTGAGTTCCAGCTCTTTGTTTTTTTAATGGATTCTCAAGCATGAATCAAAGGGCTTGCAGGTGTTTGTGCCTTCTTCCTGCTGCAGTCAGTGAGTGTTGGGTGTTTTTAAGCCTGGTTCCAAATCTCATGTTTCTGAAGTTGAACCAGTAGAGCTGGATGTGACATTGTTGGAGTGTCAGTAGCTCGACACAGCCATGGCTGCACTCACCCCATGGCAGCTTTTGTCTGTGCTGTGCTAGAGGCCAGTCATGTCAGGGCTAGAGGCACAGTGCTTGCAGCTCTTCTTCAGTGTGTGTGACACTGTCTTTGTGTGCTAACTAAAATGTCTCTGTGTCTAGAAGTGTGAACACAACCTGAGCAAACCAGAATTCAATCCAACATCTATCAAATTCAAGATCCAACTGGTTGCTGTGTAAGTAAGATACAGGGACAGGGGAGCACAACCACCTATCCATGCTTACTTAATGCCTTCTGTTTTTATTTCTTTTGTACTCTTGATTTGACCTCTTGTATGATTGTGTCATCTCTGGGGATTGTATAATCACATTTTCAATGTGTTTAGCTTATCTGTAGTAGGTTTGCTTCCTGGTCTTCTAGAAAGTTTGCTGAGGATTTCAGCAGTTTGAAAAAGACATTGTGTGCTGTGCCAGCCCCACCCAGTAGCAGGAGTTTGTAGGATTAGGTTTATATAGCAAAAGGGCACTTCATTTTTCTGGTTAAAAGCTGAGCTCTGGATGTAGGCAGCAGCAGCACAGTCCATCATAGTCATTTGCTTTATTCTTGTTCTAGTAACTATATCCCTGAAGTGAGGATCATGTCTATTCCCAACCTGCGCTACATGAAGGTCAGTACTTCTTTCCAGAGATGTCTTAGGGTGAGACACAGCTGGGTGGTGTGGAGGTGGGACCTTTTTGGAAGATGACATGGTGGGATTGTTGGTCCCCAGGGCTTTGCTCACTCCATTTAGAGCCAGGTGCAGAGCTTAAGGGAGGGGTCAGAATAACACTGCAGGTACTTGTCAGTTGGCAGGAGCAGATTGCCATGCAGTGTGATGTCTGGCATCACAAGCACATGCCAATATCTGAACAGTAAAAGGTGTGGAGTTGAGATCTTGACTAAGTTCCAAAGATGTTTATTTATTATATTAAGGAGGGACCGTATCTTTCTTACAGACAGGGGGTGTTCAGTTTGTTGGTTGGTCACCAAAGATGGAGGTGCTGTAATGGTTAATTTTAGAGTAATTGCTTCTTGAACTGTGATTCCTGAATCTCCCCAGGAGAGCCAGGTCCTTTTGACTCTGACCAATCCAGTGGAGAACATCACACACGTCACACTGCTGGAGTGTGAGGAGGGAGACCCAGACAACATCAACAGCACTGCCAAGGTACTGCACCCTCCTGCTGTGTCAGCCTAGGACTCTTCCAAGCCTTTCCACTCCCACTTAGCCTTTCACAGGTCACACTTTTCCCATGTCCTCCAGTCCCTGCTGACGGTTGCATTTTCCTCCTTGGAGCTTAAATGGCTGTCACCATTGTCAATATCAGATCATAAAGTGATTTGAAATTGTGTCTCTTCATTGAGATCCAAAACCCAAGAGAGAAATGCACAATTTCACTGGCAGAGTGGAGACCAGGTGGTACTGGAGAGGAGGAGAGCCCAGGATCTATCCTATTAAACTGTAGTAAAGCAGCCTCCAGGAGGGGAGGGCTCTATCCTGCTCGCAGTGTAGATGATCAGTGCTGAAAGGCTTCTTCCTGCTCTGTTCCAGGTTGCTGTTCCTCCCAAGGAGCTTATTCTGGCTGGCAAAGATGCTGCAGCAGAATATGATGAACTGGCAGAGCCTCAAGACTTCCAGGATGACCCTGAGTGAGTGCTGTGGGGATTCTGTCCCTTAAAAACTGCTCATTAAAGTAACTTGCTCTCCTCTCTGCCTTCATGGTTTGGGATTTTCTCTGGCTTTCTTGGGTGGGGGAGCACGGTGGTTTTTTTGGAGGAGTCAGAGATCAGCAATGTAAATCTTTCTGTGGTTTGGACTGTTCAGGAGTCATCTCTTCCCTTTGGGACAAGGTGTGCTGTTCTAGCAGTTGGGTTCTAGGTGGAAGTGCTAATTATCTCCACAATACTCTGTGTAATCCTTCCTTTTGCAGAAAGAGCAGGTAAAAACCAGGTCAGCTGTTCAAGCAGGGCACATTCAGCCATAATCTGAGCATCCCTGTTACCTGGTGTCAGAATAAATCTCTTGGAACAATTGTTTCAGAACTTGGCTGACCCAGCCTTCTTTTGTGTTCTGCCTTCCAGTGTTATTGCCTTCAGAAAAGCCAACAAGGTAGGAGTTTTCATCAAGGTCACCCCGCAGAAAGAAGAGGGCGAAGTGACCGTGAGTTTCAAGATGAAGCACGAGTTTAAAAACCTGGCTGCTCCAATCCGGCCCAACGAGGAGGGAGACCACACCTCTGAGGTCATCTGGCTCACCCACCACGTGGAGCTTAGCCTGGGCCCGGTGCTCCCCTAAACATTCCCAGCGCTTGTGCCCCGCCGGCTGGCCGCAGGATGAACTGTCACAGCAAGGAAAGCACCTGGTGAAACGTTCTGTGAGAGCTCCCTTGTGTTGTGTGGGTGGTGCCAGGGGCCTGGCTGGCCCACTAGGGGTGGCCGAGGGTGCTGTGCTCTGGGGTGGTTTGTTCTCTCTCTTGTAGTGCCCACTAGCTCCCCGCTCTGCTCCCCTGCTCCAGCACACTGGGCTTGAACCTTCAGCACAGAGGGACATCCTGGTTTCTGCAGATCCACACGCCACTCCTGGCTGGACTTGGGTTTATTCACAGAAAAGAACCCATGCTAGTTTTTCTTCCTGTTGGCCCACAAACCTTATGTTACACACTCAGTAGTCAGCAAGTTCTGTTTCACACAGAGCTGTGTCCTTCCCCAGCAAACGTTTCAGAGGAGGCCCTGCCTGCTGCTGTGTTGGCAAGTTACTAGCAGCAGCACCATGCTTCTTTGTTTTGTTTTCCTTGCAGGTTACCCAGCTGTGGGGTTTGAGCCACACCACTCTGGCACATGCAGCTTGCTCAGCTGAGGTGATGGGTCTGTTTCCACACAGGAAGGGATCCATTTGCCTTTACTCCCAAAGCACAGTGTCCTGCAGTGTTTGTGGAATTGCCTGGCCTGAGCCTGCTGCTGTGTTGCAGGTGGATGTGGCAGCATGATGTGCTGCCAGCTGAGAATTCAGGTGCTGCTACAGCTCGTGGCTGAGGCAGGGGAGCTCTGGAAAGGCTGGCTGGCAGTCTCCAGATCAATTAATGTGTGTTAATAGGGGTAGTGATGAGAGTCTGGAACCGGGAGAGTTAAGATTAGTTCTAGTATTTATAAAATGAGAAGTTGTTTGAGTTCATACTGTCTTTTTCCAGTTAGGGTGGGTGGGAGGGAGGTGTAAAGGTGGAAAGACAGTTATACATTAACCAGCACACACTGTACCACTATGAGGTGATTTATGGGGGTGTCATTTGGCTGTAGTCCAGGCTAAAATGGCTAATTAAAAGCAGTGCATCCAGGATACTGAATGACCAGGAGCTGCAGTAGCTTAGTGCAAGCAGGTGAGCTCACTCTTCCTGGAGAGCACTCCCAGTGCCAACACTGCCCCGTGTTAAACCTTCCCCATGGGCTTTGCCATGCTGGGAAAGGCTGGAATTTCCCAGCCAGTGGCTGGGGCACTGCCCCACAGCTTGTGCCCTGGGTCTGAAAACCAGGTCAGCTGTTCAAGCAGGGCACATTCAGCCATAATCTGAGCATCCCTGTTACCTGGTGTCAGAATAAATCTCTTGGAACAATTGTTTCAGAACTTGGCTGACCCAGCCTTCTTTTGTGTTCTGCCTTCCAGTGTTATTGCCTTCAGAAAAGCCAACAAGGTAGGAGTTTTCATCAAGGTCACCCCGCAGAAAGAAGAGGGCGAAGTGACCGTGAGTTTCAAGATGAAGCACGAGTTTAAAAACCTGGCTGCTCCAATCCGGCCCAACGAGGAGGGAGACCACACCTCTGAGGTCATCTGGCTCACCCACCACGTGGAGCTCAGCCTGGGCCCGGTGCTCCCCTAAACATTCCCAGCGCTTGTGCCCCGCCGGCTGGCCGCAGGATGAACTGTCACAGCAAGGAAAGCACCTGGTGAAACGTTCTGTGAGAGCTCCCTTGTGTTGTGTGGGTGGTGCCAGGGGCCTGGCTGGCCCACTAGGGGTGGCCGAGGGTGCTGTGCTCTGGGGTGGTTTGTTCTCTCTCTTGTAGTGCCCACTAGCTCCCCGCTCTGCTCCCCTGCTCCAGCACACTGGGCTTGAACCTTCAGCACAGAGGGACATCCTGGTTTCTGCAGATCCACACACCACTCCTGGCTGGACTTGGGTTTATTCACAGAAAAGAACCCATGCTAGTTTTTCTTCCTGTTGGCCCACAAACCTTATGTTACACACTCAGTAGTCAGCAAGTTCTGTTTCACACAGAGCTGTGTCCTTCCCTAGCAAACGTTTCAGAGGAGGCCCTGCCTGCTGCTGTGTTGGCAAGTTACTAGCAGCAGCACCATGCTTCTTTGTTTTGTTTTCCTTGCAGGTTACCCAGCTGTGGGGTTTGAGCCACACCACTCTGGCACATGCAGCTTGCTCAGCTGAGGTGATGGGTCTGTTTCCACACAGGAAGGGATCCATTTGCCTTTACTCCCAAAGCACAGTGTCCTGCAGTGTTTGTGGAATTGCCTGGCCTGAGCCTGCTGCTGTGTTGCAGGTGGATGTGGCAGCATGATGTGCTGCCAGCTGAGAATTCAGGTGCTGCTACAGCTCGTGGCTGAGGCAGGGGAGCTCTGGAAAGGCTGGCTGGCAGTCTCCAGATCAATTAATGTGTGTTAATAGGGGTAGTGATGAGAGTCTGGAACCGGGAGAGTTAAGATTAGTTCTAGTATTTATAAAATGAGAAGTTGTTTGAGTTCATACTGTCTTTTTCCAGTTAGGGTGGGTGGGAGGGAGGTGTAAAGGTGGAAAGACAGTTATACATTAACCAGCACACACTGTACCACTATGAGGTGATTTATGGGGGTGTCATTTGGCTGTAGTCCAGGCTAAAATGGCTAATTAAAAGCAGTGCATCCAGGATACTGAATGACCAGGAGCTGCAGTAGCTTAGTGCAAGCAGGTGAGCTCACTCTTTCTGGAGAGCACTCCCAGTGCCAACACTGCCCCGTGTTAAACCTTCCCCATGGGCTTTGCCATGCTGGGAAAGGCTGGAATTTCCCAGCCAGTGGCTGCTGCACTGCTCCAGAGCTTGTGCCATGGCTCTGCCTGCCTGGAGCTGCAGACCCTCTGCATGGGAGGGCAGGATGAGGCTGCCTGTGCCCAGGGGAGCAGCCCTGGGTCCTGGGGCAGCTCTGGGAGCCTTACACCTCTCTGTGGGTTACACACCATGTACAGCATGAGTTTGGGATGTGTAGTTGGTAGTTGGTGTCTAGTGCTAGTGCCTGCTGTGGCTTTACCTGCCCAGGTAGCAAAGCCCTTCTCCTTTGCCCGCGACTTCTCTTTGGTAGCCAAAACAGCTGCTACACATGCCACGCTGAGACAGAAAAGACCCTTCAGGAAGAGCAGGGAGCTGGGCTGCCAGCTGCCCTGGCGCTGGCGTTTCTCACTAAACACTAAAAGGTGCGTAGGTCTGTGATGAGCCCGGCGCGTCCTTCGCCCCCCGCAGCTCGGGCGGGGCGGGCACGTCCCGCTGCCCGGCCCC